AATGCTGTGTTGTTTCACCCTCCCCCGCAAACGCAGACAGTGACAGCATGTGCTAGATTCCTCTCAATCAGGGGTCTTCAAACGTGACAGCTTTAAGACTTGTGGACTTCAACTCCCAGAATTCCTCCTCCAGTCATGTTAGCTCAGGAATTCTGGGAATTGAAGTTCTCAAGTCTTAAACTTGCCAAGTTTGAACACCCTTGATATAGATGATTATATTGATTAGAGAGACAGATGATAGATAGGATAGATAGATAATAGATACAGATAGACAGAGCTATAGATGTTATAGAGACAGGATATATAGATAGATATAGATAGATGATTAACAGATAGATATTGATTAGAGATGATGATGATGATGATGAAGATAGATAGATAGATAGATAGATAGATAGATAGATAGATAGATAGATAGATAGATAGATAGATAGATAGAAAGAAATCAGGGGGTCTTTAGCTTTAAGACTTGTGGACTTCAACTCCCAGAATTCCTCCTCCAGTCATGTTAGCTCAGGAATTCTGGGAGTTGAAGTCCACAAGTCTTAAAACTTGCCAAGTTTGAAGACCCTTGCTCTCAATGCTCAGAGCTACAGTGTGGTTTGCTCAGTGGCGGATTAAGGCTCACTGGTGCCCTAAGCACTGACAAATCTTGGTGTCCCCTCTCCTTTGTACATACAAGATCTTTTTCTTTTCTTTTTTTACAAATCTTCATTGGTTTTTCTTTCTTTCTCAACTTTGTGTGGTGCCCCCTTTGGGCCTGATCCCTAAGCACGTGCTCCGTCTGCTTAATGGTTACTGTACCACGGGGTTTGCTTGCCGTGGGCGTTGGGGACACCACCGAAAGCGACCAACTTCCAGCCTGTGATTTCCCGGGCCAGTTTCGGCTTCCTTCTTTCCCTCGCTGAATGCGAAACACCTTGGCTGCAAGCCGAGCCTTGCTTCAGAGTAGGAGCTGGCAACCGCTGCAGAGCGCCAGAATTCTTTGCCCTGAATTTCCGCTCTGGGAGAAAGCTTCAGTCCGTCCCCCCCAGACCCGCGAGCGCAGCACCGGCTGCTGCCTCTTCTCCCGTTGCCAAAGCCCCTCCGCGCCCACCGGCTGCTGCCCTGTTTTCCTCGGCAGGCCAGGCCCTCGGGGCGGAATGGGGCGGTGGAAGTGTGTGGGGGGGGGAGGGGGGGGAACGAGGGTTCTCAGTCGGGAGGGGGAAATCCGCGGCTCTGCCAAGTCCTTCGGGCGCCGCTTCGAGGCGCGCGTGGGCGCACGGGCTTTCCGCTTTTGGAGAGGTCCGCGGTGCGAGCGCCGGGGACTTCCTCGCGTTCTCCGGGCTGGGCTACAAGGCCACTGGAGGGGACCGACCGTCCGGAGAAAGCGTCCCACCGACTCACCCACCCACCTTGCCGGCCAGCAGGCGCGACTGGCGCAGCTTCTCGGCTTCGCTCAGCCCTTCCAGGCGGCGCTTCAGCTCCGCTCGCAGGGCGCGTTTGGCTGCGTGTAGATTGGCTGCCATGTCTGCCGGGCTCGCGGCGGCTCCTCCTTCCTCCTCCTCCTCCTCCGAGCTCTCCATGGGACTGCGAGAGCAGCAGACGCCGCCGCCGCGCCTCGGCCGACCTCGGGGAGGCGCCCCGAACCCGGAGGAAGGTCTGAGCGGACCCCGGAGGTCTTTTCTCCTAGGTCCCTGAGCGCCGGGAGGCGGAGAGCGAAGGGACCGCTGGCTCCCCTCGGCTTGGAGAGGTGCCAAAGCAAAGAGACAGCCAGCCTCGAAGTCCAAAGATGAGGCAGTCATTGATTTGTCACGTAGGAGTGGGTTGGGTGGGGGTTCTTTTTTTTCTTACAAATAGGGCTGCAGGTAGTCCTCGACTTACAACATTTGTTCATTTAGTGACCGTTCAAAGTTACAACGGCACTGTAAAAAGTAGCTTACAGCCGTTAGGACCCTTGCAGCATCCTCATGGCCACCTGATCAAAATTCAGTGGTTTGGCAAGTGGTTTGTATTTATGACATGTCCCGGATCCGCTTTTTGGTGAGCTTCTGACTAGCCAAGTCACTGGGGAAACCAGATTCACTTATAACCGTCTTACTAACTGAACAACTGGAGTGATTCACTTAATAACCCATGGCAAGAAAGGTCGTAAAAAGGGGCAAAATCAGTGGTGGAATTCAATATTTTTTTACTATCGGTTCTGAGGGCGTGGCTTGGTGGGCATGGCAGGGGAAGGATACTGCAAAATCCCCCTTCCCTCCCCATCCCAGTAACCTGCTTTCTAGCTCTGTTCTCCTGTGCAGGCAACCAAAGACGACCCAGCCAATCAGGTGGGACTCGGGAGGCAGAGAATAGATGGAGGCAGGGCCAGTCAGAGGTGGTATTTGCCAATTCTACGAACTACTCATAATTTCTGCTACTGGTTCTCCAGAACTGGTCAGAACCTGCTGAATATACCACCTCTGGGCAAAACTCCCTTAACAAATGTTTCCCTTAGCAACAGAAATGTGGAGCTGAATTGTTGTAACTCAAGGACTACCTGCATTTATTAAGCCGACATCTATTTTGGTGCCCTTGTTCAGACAAGATAAATCTGGGCAGATTTGCATAGATTGCAAAAGAGCCCGCGCATGCAGTTCTAAATGTGAAGAACAAAAAGAAAAGAAAAGAAAATGTTTCAAAGATGATGCAATTCCTGCAAGAATCGTCCTGTGCAGGGAAAAAAATGTTTTTTGCATCCCTCTTCTGCTGCTTTCACTGTGGGCGGAAGGCAGCTCGGTGCAGTTCTTGGGTGATAACCATCAATCTTGTTGATAACATGATCTCCCTTCCTAGCCAATGATGATTGATGCCACTTAATTTGTAAAAGAGGGCCATTTTTGTAGATTGTTTAATTGATATGGTTTAGTGTATTGTGTGCACCCATCCTTTGTGGGTTGTAAGTCATAGTTTATGATAGGGTGGTCCACTTTTTCACAGCTGGAGGTTATATATAAGATTTTGGGGTGGGGGGTGGGGTAGGGACTGGTAGGTAAAATAATTGTGCAAAAAAAATGTTGGAGAAGGAGGTGCATACTATTTTCCCCCAAAACATTCCATTTTCCCTCCAGAACAGGGTGATCCAGTTGCTCAGGGATCAGGCTGTTCCCATCTGAAACATGGCAAGCAATTTGCTATTCAGGGAGATTTACTTTAGATTTCCAGGAACGGCCAGAATGCCCTGTTTAGAGAAAAATACAGAATGTTCCATGTGTGTAGAATGAAGCGGATCAAAAGAGGCTCCTGGACTATGGAAATGAGTTTTGCTCAACCCTAGCTTCTAGTTTTATAAAACCAGTTCCATTGTATTCTGCATCCCTATTTACTGAACAAATTATCGCTGTGTTATGATTTAATCTCCTAATTCAAGATTATGTATTCAGTTAGCCATAATTAAGCAAGCAATAGCCTAGCATATGTAGGCTATGTTTAATAGCAGGGTTGGCTACCATTAGCGAGTATAATGCCTATAGTCCACATGGTGAAGATTGAAGGAGCTGTGGTTGAATGCAGCTGGCTCTAAGCAACACACTTAAGTTGTAATATTGGTTTGCTGGTACTTTGTCATGTCCTGTGAGTCAAGCCATTGTGCTTTATGGCTTATTTTGTGGCTAAACAAATAATGATTTACCGTGTCAGGTGTAATGGTATGTGAGAAAGACCTTGAGAGTCAGTGAAGAAATGCTTCCTAGGGAATAATCAGAAAAGGAAGAGCTTATCCCTCAGCTGCATAACGGGTAGAGAAAAAAGCTAAAAAGGACCTTCCCTAGCTTCTCAGACTGTATAGGAGATGGTGGGAGATATGTACTTTCAGACTTGTCATATTGATGTCAGTCTTTTAAGGTAGACTAGACAGAAAACACAACCAGGTGAGCTAATTCTACTTCATTGTAAGTAGGCTACATGAACAGAATCTTGCAGATGTGAAAGTACAAATCTCCTCTTATCTGTCCTTTCCCTAAACAGCATTTCTTCACCTATCTCTCAAGGCCTTTCTCACATACCAGCACATTAGGTGAACTCAGAATACAGAATAATAAGAGTTGGAAGAAATCTTGGAGGTCTTCTAGTCCCATCCCCTACTCAAGCAGGAGATCCTAGACCAAGGGGGTCAAACTCATGGCCCGCAGCCCAGATGCATCACGTGCTGCCCCCTCCCAGTTTAGCAAAGGGGGAAAAGTGCCAATATGTCATGTGATGATGCAGTGACGATGTAAGTTTGACGCCCCTGCCTTAGACCATTTCAGACAAGTGGCTGTGCAGTCTCTTCTTGAAAGCCTTCAGCAATTAAACACCCACAATTTCTGAAGGTGAGCCATTCCACTGGCTAATTGTTCTCACTGTTAGGAAGTTTTTCCTTAGTCTTAGCTTGATTCTGCCCTTGATTAGTTTCCATCCATTGCTTCTTGTCCTGCCTTCAGGTGCTTTGGGGAATAGTTTGACTCCCTCTTCTTTAGGGCAGCCCCTCAGGTATTGGAACACTGCTATCATGTCAACCTTAATCGTTCTTTTCTCTAGACTAGCCATAGCCATTTCCTGCAACCGTTTTTTGTATGTTTTTAGCCTCCAGGTCCTAAAAAATCTAAGTTGCTCTTCTCTACTCAAGCCACATGTGATTATTTTCTTCTCCAGACTGTTTCTGGGACTGAGTTTGGCTGAGATTTCCTACCCAAGGGGTCTGTCACAAAGCAGTGAGCCAGTTTGCAGGAAAGAAGGACCTTTCTCTGGGTACTTTTGTGTAACACACTGACTTAGCACTGCACTGTGCAGCTTGTGGTTCCCCACCATTCTCAGGAATTTTGAGCAACACCCTTGAACGAGATAGAAATCATTTCTATGCTGAGTAGCTGAACCATTTGTTTAGTAATATCTGCAAGCATTTCCACAAAAGAAATATATATAAAGAAATATATATATCTCATAAATAACATATAAATAAAAGTTTGAAATATAGTATTCTTCCCTCTTGAGGTGGTGTTCTCAGTCTTCTACTAAGAGGGAAATGTTTCTGGAAGTCATCCCAGGGTAGCATCCTCAAGAAAAGCTTTGACCAGGTTTATGAGTGATATTGATTGAAGATTGAAAAAACAGCCAAGATCTTTGTCTTCAGAGTAGATAAGGATACCCAGGAGTTTCTATCCTCAAATTTTGTTATAAAGCCATTGTCCTGCAAGCAAAGAGAAGAAGATCATGAGAACCACTCTGGTCTAATGGTTAAGGTACCTAGCCAGAAACCAGGAGGCAGTAAATTCTAAAGGTAAAGGTTCCCCTCGCACATACATGCTAGTCATTTCTGGCTCTAGGGTGAAGTGCTCATCTCTGTTACAAAGCCGAAGAGCCAGCGCTGTCCGAAGACGTCTCCGTGGTCATGTGGCTGGCATGAGTAAACGCCAAAGGCACACAGAACGGTGTTCCCTTCCCACCAAAGTGGTCCCTATTTTTCTACTTGCATTTTTAACATGCTTTCTAACTGCTAGGTTGGCAGAAGCTGGGACAAGTAACAGGAGCTCACTGTTACACAGTGCTAAGGATTCAAACCACCAAACTGCCGACCTTTCTGATCAACAAGCTCAAGCATCTTAGCCACCAAGCCATCGTGTCCCTTATTTTTATTTAATTTTACTTATAAATTCTAGTCGGGCATAAAAACCAACTGGGTGACTTTGAGCCAGTCCCTTTCTCTCAGCCCAACCCACCTCACAGGGTTGTTGTGGGGAAAAGAGGAAGAAGAAGGAGTACAAGTAGTCCTCAACAATAGTTCATTTAGTGACCGTGCAAAGTTAACAACGGCACTGAAAAATGTGACTTCGGACCATTTTTCACAGTTGAGACCTTTGCAGCATCCACTTGATCATGGAATCCAGATTCAGATGCTTGGCAACTGCTTCATAATTATGACCTTCCCTGTGTCCCAGGGTCATGTGATCCGCTTTTGTGACCTTCTGATTAGCAAAGTCAATATGGGGAAACCAGATTCACTTAACAACCAGGTTACTAACTTATCCACTGCAGTGATTCACTTAGCAACTGTGGTAAGAGTGGTTGTAAAATGGGGCAAAACTCATTTAACAAATGTCTCCTCAACAGAAATTTTGGCTCAATTTTGATAGTAAGTTGAGGACTACCTGTATTAGGCATGCTCATCACCTTGAGTTAGTTATAAAAGATAATAAAGGTAGGATGAAAATAAATAAATAAATAAAAATACATTACACGCAACTTGCAGTGAATAAAATCACTCCCTGGGGGGAAAAATGTCTGATTATCCTGGGTGCACTCAAAGTATTGGATATGTTCACTGCCTTGAGTTATTTGTACAAAAAATAAAGGTGAGATATAAATAGTGGCACAGTTGTTGAGATCTTAAGTGGAGTTCATAGTGCATAAAACCATGCTTGGCCTTCACCTACTGTTTGGGTGAACCCAGGTGTTTTGGCTTGCAAATCACACAACATTTGGATCTCCTTGCTAAGTGTCATGTCATGAGCTATGGTGCTGGGGCCAAGCTTCCTGTGAAAATAATAACTTTAAAATTTTCAAATTAGCTGTAAAAAATGAGCCTCATCAGATGAGATCTCTTCTCACAAGGGTTCAAGCCACTGTTTGTTACATGTTAATGCATGCCTTTTCATTTTTTACAAAATTGCAGTGTTATTTTGATTTTGGAGATTTCTTGCTGCCATCTGGTGGATTTGGAGGTATAACACTGCCCTCAAGAGTGAACGGAAATGTTTGAACGTGTAAAAAAAAACCCACCAAGCTTGCAATTGTTAAAAAACCATACATGCATTATATATATATCTTCTTGCTGGAGTAGATAGAGAGATAGAGATAGAGATGATATAGATAAAGATAAATAAATATATTTATAGAGATAGAGATATAGAGATGGATATATATTTACTCCAGCAAGAAGAATCTGAAAGAGCCACAGAAATTGCTGGCAGAATCAGAAAACAGGCAACTGCCTAAGTTCATAAAACATAGAATAACAAGAGTTGGAAGGGACCTTGGAAGTCTTCTAGTCCAATCCTCTGCTTGAACAAAAGACCCTATACCATTTCAAACAAGTGGCTGTCCAATCCCTCCAGTGATGAAGCATCCACAACTTCTGGAGAGAGAAAGAGCCATTTCACTGATTGATCATTCTCCCTAAGGAAGAAAATTTCTCCTTAGTTCTAAGTTGCTTCTCTCTTTGATTAGTTTCCACCCATTGTCTCTTGCCTTGCCCTCAGGTGCTTTGGAGAATAGCTTGACACCCTCTTCTCTGGGGCAATCCCTCAAATATTGGAACACTGCTATCAAGTCTCTCCTAGTCCTTCTTTCATAGACATAACCAATTCCTATAATTGTCTTAGCCTCCAGCTCCCTAATCATTTTTGTTGCTGTTCTCTGCACTGAGTCTCAACATCTTTTTTTATATCATGGTGACCAGAAGTGAATACAATATTCCAAGTGTGGTCTTACTTTGTAAGGTCTTACTTACCATACTAGAACGTCACTGAACATATAGCGTTGGCTTTTTTTGGCATACTGTTCACACAATACTCTGTCCAGATCAACTAAAAACCCAGCTGATGTGACATTGCACATTAAATTTTGTTAAGTACTGAATGTGGTTAAGTCTTATTTGGACCTTAATAGTATAACATAAGGCCAGTTCTTTTGGTTATTAGTTTGGCTCAGTATATTGCCTGAAGCCAAGCTGACCACAATAAATGAGGTGCAATGTATTGCAGTCTGGCTCAAATAATTTGGGAGAAATATGCCCTCAGTTGCCATTTCTAATTTTGTAGAAATGGAATGGAAACTCCAGTGGAAAAACACAGTATGCTTTAGATGTAAATGTGGCTCTCAGAAACACCCACCAAGAAATCTCCCTGCAGATCAAGATTAATAGGGGAACAGTCATATACAGGAATAGAGAATTGTTAAAATTCCCCGAAAGGAAGATTAGGGGTTTTCCCCAAACATCAAAGGGAAAAAGCCACCTTAGATTTGCAAAGAATACAGAAAGGAGCCCTTTTTCTGTTTGATTTAGCCTTGGGGAATTCTGATTTCTTAAATGCAGGATCATTTTTCTTTTCCTTGAGTACAGTGTGTGTCCTTGAAATAATGGGGGAGGAGTCCTTTTCTGAAAGATCCCAGCAAGGCTGCAGTTAATTGAGAATCAATATTTTCAAGATTACATTGTAGGTTGCCAATATCATACTTGTTGCCACGTTTCATAGGAACACAAACAAACCAGGCATTTTGCAAGTTCCTGTTCCCCTAAAGAAAGGGAATATGCTACTGCCCTCTTTCTTCTGCTATGGAAAGTTGCTTTTGCTGTGTTTCAAGGCAAATAATTAGCAAACATAAAAACTCAAAGCAGGCAGGCCAGAGTTTGATTTAATATATAACTTGTTTCCTGTTAACTGCCTGGAAGACTGTATTAAAACTAAAAGAAATGAGGGATAGATATTGCAGATAGATAGTATTTTAATAAATGCCAATTTACCCATCCAAAAATAAAATTCCACTGAATTCCATAGTATTATTACCACACTATTGGATTTTTCTGATCTTTAGGAATAATCTTCCCCCAATTGCATAAAAATAAACTTTTTGAACTCTTTGAGATTGAAAGTTCTACTGGGTTATACTATTGAGTTGTACTTTATAAGACAACATTTACTAGAATATTCATTCAAATCCTCATCACTAATGTGAGTTTTCCATTTCAACATGCAAGTAGATTTACATATGTCTTTTATATTTATTCTGAGTTTATTTATGGATACAATATACAACACTACTGATGTAAGGTTTAAGCAAACAACCTTAGACGTTGAAAGCACAAAGATTTAGTATTGTTAAATCAATAAAAGATGTGTTGCATTATTGTGAGCTGTTAAATTAATATCCAGTTCTGTGAGCTTTTGGTCTTGTGTTTTGCATGAACAATTAGTGAAGCTAAAAGGCAAACACTGAAGGCAAAAGAAGAGGACAGCAGAGGATGAGATGTTAGATAATGTTATTGATGCAATAAGTTTGAGCTTGGGCAGATTCAGAGAGACAGCAGAGGATGGGGAGGGGGGCTTGGCTGGCATGTTGTGGCCCATGGAGTCACAAAGAGTCAGACACAACTTAGTGACTGAACAACAAAAAGACAAACTCAAGAACTTACCCATCCTCCATTCTCACTGATCCACTTTCCTTTGGTGCTCACAATATAGTCTGTGATGAAATAGGAGATCTGTTTCAAGTTTTCTTTTGCCAAAGGTCCTTGGAGTTTTTTGGCCAGGATTCCACCGAATAGGAATATCGTCAGAATGCGTCCCCAGTTAATTTTCCCATCCGCAAATTCATTTTCCATCACTTGATGGAAAATGTTGCCAGCTTCTTCTATGGAATGAATCCCCAGTGAGTCCACGTAAGGCCTCAGGTTGCCTTCAACTTCTTTCTGAGCAGAAGATCCGGCTTTACGAAGGACTTCAGCCACTTTGTTTGGGGCCGCTGCCAGCTGAGCCTCTTGACAAATGTATTTCAGGTAATCTTGCACCAAGGTGTTCACATAAAGGAAATTGTAGCTTTCCATTTGAAGAAAAATAACTCTGCAGGGAACAAGAAAAGAAGGACTCGATTCTCAGCAGGGCTTTCAAGAATGTGCCGTCTGTCGCTGGCTAATTCATGAAACTTCAACTTTTTCCATCTGAGGGTGGAATTTTCCTTTTTTCAAAGCTTTGTCAATAACCATCATTGTGCATGTAAAACATCCCTATGTAAATCAACATGGCACATGTGATTAGGAAGTGAAACTTTTGTGATCTGAGGGAAGGAAAAATACAGCAGCTATGCAGCTGAGCCTTCTAACATGGTTCTCAAAATGCAATTAGAGGAAGTGTTGAAAACCCTACTATAGCAAATAAAATATAAAATAAAGCCTGGCTTAAGGTTACCAAATCTAGGAGGCTTATACTGATACAATACCGTGTGTTGGATAATATTTCAGCATTTCACTAACATACTTGGAACATGCAAACCCTCACTGTTGGGTTTTTTGCTTCTTGTTATGTCAAGATTTTAGCGTCAGGACTTCTTTGATCTTTTTAGATGTCATTTAGTTTCTATGAGATATGGATTTTTTTCTATGCCAAGCATAGCTGAGAACATATGTGACTCTTGTAAGTATTGCTATTAATCGTACATATCCATGTGATAGTTATTTAAGAATGGAAAATGGGTAGTTCTCCCAAATCAAGGAATATCAACTCAGACAGTCAAACAATAAACAACAGCCTAATCCAGGAAACATCAAGAATTCTCCAATCAACACTGGCAGGGCAAGCCATGAGTATATAAACAGAGAGCATACTTCTTCTAGCACTGATGATAGTACCTAGTTGGGTAATGAAATGTCTGCAAGATATCTAAAGATCATCATTCTAGAACAGTGGTTGCCAACCAGTGGGCCGGGGACCACTGGTGGTCCGTGAGAAAATTTTGGTGGTCTGCAGAGAAATGTCACCCCCACAGAGACTCATTTCTGGCAGAGTTGGGGGGAGAGAAAGAAAGTTTTCTGCTGCTTTCCTTGCATGAAGCCAAAAGTCAGTCTGTCAGTCTGTCAGTCTCTCTCTCTCCCCATGAGAATGGAGCTGGAGACGGTATTCTGTGATCTCAAAGAATGATCGATTGGTAGGAAAACAGGGTGGTGAATTTTCCTGCAGATTGTTTTTGGATTTTCCCAGGGTCTCTGCTGCTTTCTGCAGAGACCCTGGGAAAACGCCAGCAAGCCACCATCAATCAAAATTCATATTAGTGGTCCGCAGGATTTAAAATTATGTGTTTGGTGGTCCCTGACGACTAAAAGGTTGGCAACCCCTGTTCTAGAATATCAGTAGCCCTATTTCTAATCCCCTTTTTACTTTCTTCTTTATAGGGAGAGTTAGAGAGCTCTCACCCAAGGCTGGGATAACTTTGTTGAAGGCCTTTAAAAATTTGTGGAAAGGCTGCCAGTTTCCCTGCCTGGCTTGCAGCTCTCTGGAACAAAGTTGGGCTAAGCCCCAGAAATAATGCACCTCCGTTTTTTGTGAAAAAGGAATAAATGTGCACGTATATAAAGGATTGCCCCTTTAAAAACCTTTCCAGCATCTTTAACTTTTGCCCAAAAGGCAATGGAACTTTTTGTTCTTTCTCACTTTGACACGATCAAACCAAAACACCCTTTCTAGTACATATAATTTGATGATTTAATGCCACCGGGGAAGTCCTGGCTTGTCAGAGAGGTAATAGAATAAATTTATGACAATAGTTCTGTATTCATTAGATAAGTGGGTTGCATCCTGTGCTGGAAAAAAGCTGAAATAACAAGAAGTTGGAATTTCCCAATCTTCCCATTTCATAGCTGCTGTTCCCTTAGCAGTCCCATCCTCTGTTTGCTGAAACATCTACTGGAGACTTTGTGTCAATTGAATCAATAAGCTGTTGCTCCTGCTGAATTAAGACACACACACACACACACACCAGAAACCATTACAGAGGAACAAAGTCCAAGAACCATGTTCAGAGACGGTTATGACGTTACCCAGATGGTGATGTCAGTAATGTAGGAGCTTGCAAGAGCCCTGGTGACGCAGTGGTTAGAATGCAGCATTGCAGACTGACTCTGCCCACAGCCAGGAGTTTGATTCTGACTGGCTCAAGGTTGACTCATCCTTCCAAGTGAGGATCCAGGTTGTTGGGGGCAAATAGGCTGACACTGTAAACCACTTAGAGATGGCTGTAAAAGCACTGTGAAGCGATATATAAGTCTAAGGGCTATTGCTAAGTGGGAAGGAAGGAGGGAAAATAGGAAGAGGAAGGAAGGAAGGAAGGAAGGAAGGAAGGAAGGAAGGAAGGAAGGGAGGGAGGGAGGGAGGGACGTGGTGGTGCAGTGGTTAGAATGCAGTACTGCAGAATAAACCCACCGACTACCAGCAGCTCGATTCTGAACGGCTTAAGGTTGACTCAGCCTTCCATCCTTCCAAGGTCAGTAAAATGAGGACCCAGGTTGTTGGGGGCAAGAGGCTGACTCTGTAAACCACTTAGAGAGGGCTGTGAAGCATGGTGAAGTGCTACATACATCTAAGTCCTATTGCTAAATGTGAAGGGAAGGGAGGGAGGGAGGGAGGGAAGGAGGAAGGAAGGAAGGAAGGAAGGAAGGAAGGAAGGAAGGAAGGAAGGAAGGAAGGAAGGAAGGAAAGAAAGAAAGAAGGAAGGAAGGAAGGAAGGAAAGAAAGAAAGAAAGAAAGAAAGAAAGAAAGAAAGAAAGAAAGAAAGAAAGAAAGAAAGAAAGAAAGAAAGAAAGAAGGAAGGAAGTAAGTTGAAGGAAGAGCCATGGTGGTGCAGTGGTTGGAATGTAGAACTACAGGATAACTCTGCCAACTACCAGCAGTTCGATTCTGAACAGCTCAAGGTCGACTCAGCCTTCCATTTTTCAGAGGTCGGTAAAATGAAGAGCCAGATTATTGGGGGCAAGATGCTGATTCTGTAAATTGCTTAGAGAGGGCTGTAAAGCACTATGGAACTATACATAAGTCTAAGTGCTATTGCTATTGCATCACAAACCTGGGGGTCATCGAGTAAATGCAAAATAATAAATATTCCTAATTAAAGAAGGGACCCTAAAGGACCATTAAGCTCAGAGCTTAGACTTATTAACTGCCTTTCCAGTTATGCTCATACCTTCAAGTTTAGTCACCTACCCTTAAGGTTTACAAAGTGCAATCAGCCATTACACCGAGGTGTAATATTTATTATTTGTTTGTTTGTTTGTTTGTCAAACATGTACAAGATAACAAGTATAGGCAAGAACATAAACAGGAACAAAGGAAGTAAATACAGATAAATGGGGACAATAAAACAGGGACGGTAGGCACGCTGATGAGCTTATGCATGCCCCCTTTAAGGACCTCTTAGGAACTGGGTGAGGTCTATGGTAAACAGTCTGAGGTTGAAGTTGTGAGGGTTTGAGGCTGTAAATATTATGGTGCTGCTTTGTTTGTTTGTTTTGTTTTGTTTTTGGGGTTGGGACATAATCATTACTGTCTTGTTATAGAACATTGTACATTTTCAGCCATTGTGGGTATGGCACTGTTTACAGCTTAAATAAAGTTGTGCTTTAGTCTACAAACCACAATTAAGCAAAACCAGGTTATTGAATATTGCATTTGTGATTGAGATAAGTTTTGGTTCAGGCATACTTTTACCATAATAATAATGGTATTGGAGGGAAGCATCTGTAATTACTAGCATATGTGCCTGGTTCATCTGCCTGACTTTGCAAGATCTAGGCTGTTCTTGCATTTGCAGAATATACAGTATATCTGATAGATATTTCAAGCAAATAAGGATTTTGGCAGCTCTATTCTGGTTATGCTGCAGGAGACTGCCACCTAGCAGAAAATGATAAATTTTCAAGCCAGCGAGAGACACTGCCTCTAAGAGTAACAAATGTCATTTTTAAAAACAGGGTACGATGGGGTGATGAACCAAAACATAAGGAGAAGGGAAACACAGTTTTGCAAGGGAAGTACTAACACCACTCTATAAAGCCTTAGTAAGACCACACCTAGAGTACTGCATCCAGTTTTGTTCACCACATTATAAAAAAGATGCTAAAACTCTAGAAAAAGTACAGAGAAGAGCAACCAGGATGATTAGGGGACTGGAGGCTAAAACATACAATGAAAGATTGCAGGAACTGGGCTTGGCTAGTCTAGTGAAGAGAAGGACCAGGAGAGACATGATAGAGGTCTTCCAATATTTGAGGGGCTGCCACAGAGAGGAAGGGGTCAATCTATTCTCCAAGGCACCTGAAGGCCAGACAAGGAACAATGGATGGAAACTGAACAAGGAGAGATTCAACCTGGAAATAAGGAGAAACTTTCTGACAGTGAGAACAATCAACCAATGGAACAGAAGTTGCCCTTGAAAGTTGTGGAAACTTCATCACTTGAGACTTTCAAGAAAAGACTGGGGCTACCATTTGGTCCCAGCTGATCGGCTGGGTCTTCTTTTGTTGCCCTGCACAGGAGAACAGAGCTGAAAAGCAGGTTAGTGGGGTGGGGAGGGAATGGGATCTTACAATAACCTTCCCCTGCCACACGCACCAAGCCCACATAACTGGTAGTAAATTTTTTTGAATCCCACCACTGCAAGGAGGCCTATCTCCAGTGTCCCCTCCCCAGTCTCTTCAGTCAGTTTACATGAGAAATGAGGACTGAGAATCATCAGCTACCAAAATGGTTTAAGCTCAGTGGCCATGAAGATGAAGAAATGGTGGGTTCATTTTAATTTCATTGTTTCCATACAGATTAAACCTACCGTTTAAGGGGAATCAGGAACGAAGCATCCTATTAACTTCTGCATGTTGGAATGTAGAGACATATATTCTGGCAACGTTAATGGACTCTCCATTGCTAGCTCTGCTGGGTCTCGTGCACACAACATTTCACTTAATGATCCCATCTGGATTCCATTTTTTTTCCAATAAAAAGAAGAAACAATGATCATTTAAAGCAGACTCTGTACTGGGATTCTCATTTAACAGTCAAACAAACTAATAACAATTGGGTACACCAAGTCTCCTCCATTCAGACAAGCATTTCACAAAAATTTCTGGAGAGGTGAGATCAGCAAATGGAGAACAGAACAGGCTGAGTTCAGGCAAAGTGTCAAACCGTAGTTAA